TCTCTCTCTCTCTCTCTCTCTCTCTCTCTCTCTCTCTCTCTCTTTCTCATCGACTGGGAGCAAAAATTTTCTGGGAATGGAGAAATTAGGGGTGTGAAGGAGTTGCTTCTACCCTTGCTGGCAGATCCTTTTCAGCCGCCCCCCTTAAAGGCTTTAGCTACCCAAGAGTCAGTCACCCATTTACCATTCTACACCATCACTCAAAAACAGCCCACTAGGAGCACCTTACCCTAACACACAAGAGCAACTCCCATGTACTCTTGCCCAGTAGTGAGAAGCCTCTCTTAAACTCTTCATCCTGCAGAAGCTAAACATTCTTAGCTCAAACTCAGTCTCCCTTTCACCCCCTTCCACCATTTAATCTCACAAAGACCAGACTGAAGTGGCCATTATGTATCTAAGGCTTGCCCTTGACACAAACCCTCCTTCAAGGAACAAAGGCTTTCTTTGGATTGGAGTAAGGAAAGAATCAAAGCAAAATGGAAATCTAAGACTGTTGGTGGGAGGGAAATGAGATGCAAAAACTCATAACCTCAACCTGGTGCATGATCTGTAATTCTTGCATTGAGTCAAAAGGATTGCAAGTCTGAGGCCAGTCTAGGCTATATAGCAAGACTTTGTTCCAAAAATCATGTAAATAATTTTTTTTTAATTTAAAAAGTCATATCCCCATGATGTTCTGTTGGAACATCAGAAATCTGTGTAAATCAGATGACCCCAGTGTTTCCTTTCATTTCTTACCTATTGGGGCAGAGGAAGGTAGCAAGGGTGACTTGAGATGGCTGCAATACCAGGCCTATCTGAACTGGCCGACCAATTTAGGAAACATCAATGGTGATAAACAGGCTTTTCTTGCTCTCATACTCAGTGTTTTTCTTGACTCTTTGATTAGGACTTAATCAAGACCTGACAGACAGGTCCTGAGCTTCAGTGACACAGAGAAGCCTGGCTCCTAGGTATCAGTCTAGGAGGTTCCTCACTTCCTGGGTACCAGTCAATATATCTTCCTTTACAAACAAGCCACTAGGACCAAGGAGAGAATTCGTGGTATCATTCTCATAACAGTGCCCCCTTTCCATATTGATACTCAAGAGTCTAAGCCTCAGAATCCTTCTCAACATAATGCTGCAGTTGGCCTGTAAGAAACTGATTTTTGAAAAAAATTTCTGATAGTGTTATAGTCTGAGATCCACAAATGCCCCACACAGACAGACAGGTAAGTCTAGAGAAAGAAAGATTTATTACAGCCAGGCTACACTCTTTCCTAGAGGGTCTGAGTGTAGCCCTGAGCCTAAGCACTCTGGCTCTTTTATATGCTTATGTTGCTATGCAAGCAAGCAGAATACAGAAGCCAATCATTGAGCATTAAGCTTGAGCAAACATTATCAAGGAAATACATAAGAAAATACAATTTTCCACCCAAACCCCCCATTCGAACCATAGTACACCTGCACGGAACTAGCTTCCTCCTCTTTCATAAATAGACATTATCAATCGTACTGTTACTCTACATTGGTCATGGTACATTGCCTTTACTGGTCACAAAATTCCCTCTAGGGGGGTTTTGTTGTATAGCAATTATATCCTAGGAACTTGATCTTTTAAAGTTTCCTAAGTCTTCCAACTTCCTGTGGGGTATGTCCTGTACAGAGAAACTATAACCAGGAGTGAAAAGTTTAAGTTCCCAAGCTTACAGGTGGAGAGTCCTCTTAGTAATTTCTATTCTGTTAAGAACCAATTACTATTTTGCAGAAGCAAGCCAAACATAACCTACAGAAGCCATAAATCAGCAGTTAACAGGCGCACTCTAGGATGCTCTGACCTGTTTCCAAGACAACCAGGGTCCAGCTAGAATGTGTTTCCATACCCTGAGCCAACTGCCTGATAATTTCAGAAACTAGAGTCAGCCTAAACTTTAACATGGCGTAGCTATGGTCAAGAAGGTGCCCTATTGCTTCCTTCTCAGTGAGCAATGTCATTTGTATTTTGAGGTTCTGGACCTGGTAAAAATTAGCTTATCCTCTTTCAGTTTAAAGAAGGTGTCAGATCCTTTGGAGAAAGGTGGGGGGGGGGAGGTAAAGGGAAGGAGGAGGAAGAAAAGGATGTGGAAGAAGAGGAGGGAGGGGGAGGGAGAGAAGGAGGAAGAGGGACGAGGAGAGAGAAAACCTTTTTTTTTTTTTTTTTTTTTGTCTTTTTGAGACAGGGTCTCCTTGTAGCCCCAGCTGTCCTGGAACTCACTATATAGACAAGGCTGGCTTCAAACTCACAAAGATCCACCCGCCTCTGCCTCCCAAGTGCTGGATTTGAGAAAAAACATTTTAAAGTCTCTCTAAGGTGGGGGCATGGTGGCTCATGCCTTTAATCCCAGCACTCCGGACTCAGAACTTTGAGGCCAGTTTGCCTATTTTATTCTGTTACAACACAAAATATAAGAACCTCCAATAATCTAACCTCTCT